GGCCAGAACTCTGCAGTTTTCACTCATTTACAGGCCAGCGGTCACTCTTTCAGAGATGAGGATGTTCTCATTATGTATCACTCCACCCCCTGTTAACAATAAGTGTTAATTAGGTGTCAACGATAGCCATGTGATGTGAGTATCAGTCACATGGAGGCAGTGCTTAAAAGCCAGAATTTAGCCTGAAACTCTCAGACTGAAGAAGTCTCTTGGAGGAGAGACGAAACGTTTCATTAGAGAAGAACCTGTCCAGAAGACCTATACAGTTTTTTTCGTTTTGATTTTTTACCTGGATTACTGAGATGCATCAGGATACTTAAGTACAAAAAATATCAGATACTTTAAGAGTTTTACTCAAGTAATATTTTTAGAGAAGACTAACTTTTACCAATTTTTATGATGATACTTATACTTTTACTCAAGTATCACTTTATACTTTATATACACTTTATACTTTATATTTGTACTTTATACAACACGGCACTTCACAAAACGACCCGACAATCACATGATGGTGTGTGTATTTTATAACTGTAAACAAAGGGAAGTGGTGTAGAACTCCAGAATTTCTCCTATACTATTAAACTATCATACTACTACTATACTACTATACTACTGTACTACTATACTATTAATTACTATTAAACCAAAGGTGACAGATGAGCTTTGCATTGTGCTTCTACTGATGAATTTCCAAATGTCGTTAAATTTCATCTTCTGCTCTTAAGACTCAAACTTACATGTCTTGCCATCACTCCAGTGAGCAATTACCACTGTTTTTAAAAATTATCATTTTTTTTATTTCTTGCTGATTGTTTTAAAATGACACAGCTGGCTATAACTGTTATACTTGTCCCACAATTCCAGCTCACCGTTCCTGTAGGGTAACCTACAGTACCCTCTGCCATCATGCGGACCTACCTGTCCTCAAGGTGGAGAAACTTCGACCCACCATTCTATGCAGTGAGAAAAACATGAGTAAATCAGACTGCAAGTATGATTTCTAAAGGGCTAGTAATTTAGATTCAGATACTAAAAACTAGCAGTAAAATCTATACTTGACACTTCAAGTATAACCATATTTAAAACCACACAAGGTAAAACTCACAATATTTTGAATGTTTTTTCCCAGCCCGTTTCAAACAGCCCTCCAGACTCATGTTTGATGGGAAACATCTTGTTTAAGAGGTTTTAAATTTTCCCATCAAGTTGCTGAGTAACATGGGGCAACAAGTTACTACTGTAGACACGTCTACACAGAGGATCTGCATGTTCCAAACTTAAGAGAAATGCCTAAATATTAGATATAAGACTTCAAACAAAACCAAACAAAAAAATGCTCAATCTTGCTAATCCCATCATTTTGTTTAAGTTGTTTCTGGAGTAAAAAAAAAAAAAAAACAGCAGCAACATGTCACCAAATAATTAAAGAAAACATCTGGGAAGGTGATTTTTCATTTTCAGGTGAAGCAGCAGTTATATTTTCCTAATAATCATGAAGCAATAGCCAACTAACATATTTTAAACGGAGATAAACATTTGGGTAACAACTAAACAGTCTTCAGTGTTCTGCATGACATTTTGCTTTAAAATCAGAAATTTGTCAGTGCTCATGACTGCAGCAGAGACTTTTTTACTGCATGGTGTGGGGCTTCACATATTTCTTGTTTTTTACCGTGCCATGCTGGAAAGTATGGGATCACAGCCTGGTTTGGAAACTTAACTATTCAACTCAGGAACAAGATTGCCCACATTCATAAAACAGCCATGAACATAATCGGCTTAAAATACTACAAACCCATACAGACTATATATGAAGAAGCAGTGATAAGAACAGCAAAAATCATATCCACTGACCAGAAACACCCACTGCTCTCTGAATATGGACTGCTGCCATCAGGAAGAAGGCTTAGAGCTACAGTGTAGGACTAAGACTGAAACTGTCCTTTGTTCCAGCCTCAGACTGTTGAACTGTTCATCCCACCGCCTGTTAGCACCTTACCATGCTGCAGTTTACAACTCATACCTAATACTGTACCCTCTACTTGTTGCATTGCTTTGAGTCTGAGTTTTACCCTTGTGTTGTTTTAATGGTTTTATTCACAACTGTGTAGCACTTTGCTAAGGCAAATTTCCCTCCACTAACAATAAATTCTATTCTATTCTATTCTATTCTATTGTGTCAGAAACATTTGTGGGGAGACTTAATTCTGAAGTTAGAAAAGCTCACAGTCATGTCACTTGACATTTAAACATCTGAAAAAGTGTAACAAATTTTGTCCTGATGCATCTCAGTCGTCCAGGCAGAAAAAAATCTAAATAAAAAAATCAGTAGGTCCTCTGGACGGGTTCTTCTTTAGTGAAACGTTTCGTCTCTCCTCCAAGAGACTTCTTCAGTCTGATGAGTTTCAGGTGAACTCAGCTTTATAAGCACTGCCTCCACATGGCGGACAAACAGGTTACTCACATGCAAAAATGGGCCATCGCTTAACAATAGGGTTGATTAGCTCTATTCATAGAGGCTCATGTGCCCCATCACCTGACTTATTGGTTTGGATGCTGTGGTTTTTACCCCCAATTTACACTACATGTGTTCCGTCCCCGCTCCGCTCCGACCTCCACAGCAAACACACACCCATTATAACCAATGAGAGTGTTTATACTGGCGGCGCAGGGCGGCGGTGAGCGGACGGCGATCCGTCAAAATAAGAACAGATCCTATTTTTGCCGGATGCCGGAGCAGCGCCGGAGTCAATTTTTAAAGATTAGGAAAAGACACGAGCACAGCATCCGTAGTTTTAAAATAAGACACTATTCGGCGGAATAATTTGTCGGAATAATGTCGAAATTGCAGCTATATTAATAAATATACGGATATATTTCTACACAAATGCTGTCAGAATGTATGGTTCTGTTTGGGAAGCAGATGGAAACATGTAGCATGAAGCATATGTGTACACACACGATACACGTGGATTTTATTTTGAAATCAGAAGTTTCAGAAAGCCGACAGCGAGACAGTTTCAACATAGTTATCAAAAGTCTTTATATCGTTGTTTTCAGCTGTGTTTGGAGTTCGTCTTTCACAGAATTAATGATTTTTTTGTTGTGACTTCCACATTTATCACTGAATTTATCGCACGATCTGCTTCCTGCACGTCTGTCGGACCGGAGCAGAGGAAGTGTAAACGGGACTTGAAATGCACAGCTGCGACCTGCGCAGCGCAGCGGAGCACAGCTGAGACGCATGCAGTATAAATACGGGGTTCGGTGTCGTGTCATGTGTATGTAGTGAATGCAGGCGGGGCTCAATGTCTCCTTGTTTTTGTCTTTTCTTCCAGGGGAAAAGGGGGAGGGGACTTTGAACCCCGCCTGCACACATGACACAACACCTAAGAACCACAGCAGCCAAACCAATAAGTCAGGTGATGGGTCACATGACCCTCTATGAACAATAGAGCTAATCAAACCTATTGTTAGTCGATGGCCCTCTTTTGCATGTGACTAACCTGTTTGTCCATGTGGAGGCGGAGCTTATAAGTTTGAGTTTCACCTGAAACTCATCAGACTGAAGAAGTCTCTTGGAGGAGAGACGAAACATTTCACTAAAGAAGAACCAGAGGACCTACTGATTTTTTCTTTTTGATTGTAACAAATTTTCTTTTAAAATAGTTTTAGAATCACTGCTGGTGTTCAAATCCAATTCAACACTAGGAACTAGTGGTGTGGAATACTGAAAAATATCATTTTGATCCAATACTGAGGGGCCAGTATTACAGATAGTACAGTTATACTTTCATCTCATAGGGGCAGCAGATACAGTTTAACATCAGGGAGAGCAGAGTTTAATTTTTTTACCATCGTGATAAATCTGAAGAAATTATCATAGATTTTTAGACAGATTTTTGCTTTCCACTTTAGTTACTTGATTATTTGTATTTTAAAAGCCAGAATAACTATTAGTTAAAGTTTTTCAGCAAATAAAAATATATATACTACTGCAAGTATTGTATTTGGTAAAATTAAATTAGTACAAAGTAGAGAATGAATGTTTTACATTACTGTTGCATGGTTTTCAGAAATAGAAATTTACCAAAACAATTCTTTCATTAACTTCTGTTTTATTTCAATAAAGTGAAGAAAGTAAACCAGCTGATCCCATTCTGACACCTGCTCAAAAGCTTTTAAAGTTGACAGAAAACACATCCAGCTTTGAAAACTGTGATGATGACAAACATCAACTTCAGAAAAGCTTGTCCAAATCGGTCTTTGTTTCAAACCTGCACTCCAGCAGATTAAATCATACTTGTGGTGGTGGCTGCTGAGGAGAGTACAAAGAAACAGTGTTGCTAACTCCTGAGCAAGAAAAGTCCCTATTGGCTGTCCTAAAAGTCGCTCGATGATGTCATTTAAATTGCATAGTTGGATGTTTGCCAATAATTGTGATCTGCGCTATACGAGAGACAATGAAGAAAAAAGTGAATAAAAACACTAAATGTGTTTAGAACTGCAATTAGACGTAATTAAATCAAAATAATTTTATGACTTCAAACCACATAAATTAAATTTGTGGGAATCTTAAATTTAATCAGCCGACTGTTAGATGTCACGAGGCACAGAGAGGACGAGGTGAAGCAGTGACTGATCTGTGAGTCAAACACAGCTGGGTCCAGAGATGTCGTTTAGAGAAACACTATCAGAGAAAAAAAAAACGTTACAGTAAATATTACATCCCGCTTTGTAAACCAGACAGAAGCAGTGGCAGCTTTGCGCATGCGTGATTCATTTGCAGCGGTCTCCTCTCAGCTGACTTGAGCTGGGGTTGGGGGTTGGGGGTGCTGCACGAGGCTTCAGTGAGTCGGACAGCTTTAGGAAGGGGGAGGGGCTCAACTCCGCGCTCGCTGCTAGCGGAGGAAAGGAAAAAAGTGCTTGGAAAATGCTGTTGCCAAAGCTCCTAAAAGTCTCTAAAAACACCGGGAAAAGTTGCTAGATTTGTCGCTA